ATTAAACATTAAAAAAAAATCAGCTGGCTGTGGTGGCGTGTGCTTGTGGTCCCAGCTACTCAGGAGGCTGAGGCAGGAGGATAGCTTGAGCCCAATAGTTTGAGGCTGTAGTGAGCTATGACTCTGCCACTGCACTCCAGCCTGGGCAAAAGAGCAAGATCCCACGTTGAAAAATAAAAAAATGTAAAGGTGACCAAGGCAGAGTGCTAAAATTTGTCCTATGACTCATGAGACAGAGAAGACACTAAAGCCCGTATTATCTCACAGAAGAGTCATATGTCCATTCCTTTTTTTTCCACACACAACACAGATGTAGACATGTCCATTCTTCCACACTATATTTATTTATTTATTTTTTGAGACAGAGTTTCACTCTTGTTGCCCAAGCTGGAGTGCAATGGTGCGATCTTGGCTCACTGCAACATCTGCCTCAGCCTCCCGAGTAGCTGAGATTACAGGTATGTGCCACCACACCCAGCTAATTTTTTGTATTTTTAGTAGAAACAGAATTTCACCATGTTAGCCAGGCTGGTCTTGAACTCTTGACCTGAGGTGATCCACCCACCTCAGCCTCACAAAGTGCTGAGATTACAGGCGTAAGCCACCACACCTGGCCCTTTCACATTACGTTTTCACAAACACTAACGCTCTACTTTCCTTTTTGAAAATACTATATCGGCCAGGCACAGTATTTTGTATTAGTCAATACAAAATATTTATTTATTAGTCAATACAAATTTACCATTTACAAAATGGTAAATTCACTGCCAAAGAAACAAAATAAATCCTACTACTAAAAATAAGCAATTTAAAGTTATTTACTGGTTTGAATTATTTCCCATCTCTTGCTTCATTAACATAAAAAGTTCCAGTTAACTATATGTTAAAATATAAACCCCTAAACACTCTGCATCTCTAATTTTCTCCAAATACTAATAAAAGTAGATACAATACTGAATTTCATAAATGGGACTCTAATAATAATAATTTGAAACTGTAAACTATGTGGCCAGAATAGCATTTCTCAAATAGTCCCATGGAATATCAGTGTTCCTTGAGGTATTTCTAAATGCTCCATAAAGAAAAAGAATACAGCAGGGCCAGTGGTTCATGCCTGTAATCCCAGCACTTCAGAAGGCTGAGGCAGGCAGATCGCCTGAGATCAGGAGTTCGAGATTAGCCTTGCCAACATGGTGAAACCCCATCTCTACTAAAAATACAAAAATTAGCCGGGTGTGGTGGCAGGGGCCTGTAATCCCAGCTACTTGAGAGGCTGAGGCAGGAGAATCACTTGAACCCGGGAGGCAGAGGTTGCGTGAGCCAAGATTACACCATTGCACTCCAGCCTGGATAACAAGAGCGAAAGAATAGTACGGTCAAATACGTTTCAAAGCTCTGCGTTAAACAAATGTTTAATGAGAGGTCTTCTCAGAAACCTTCATTCTTTTATTTAACAAATAATTTACTGAACGCCTACCATATACCAGGCACTAAACTGAGTTTGGGAGTTAAAACCGTGAACAACATGAATAAAATCCCTGCCTTCATGGAACATTCTTTCTAGTAAAGGGGGAAGTAAATAAACAATAATTAACCGGAGTCAGTGATTAAGACACTAAAAGAGAATGCATAAAGAGATTAGTGGATACTTCAGACTGGGTGGGCACAATAAATTACATGTGTAATGTCTTCATGTTTTTCTACGCTGGAGGATATAGCACATAGTGTTTCGCAAATGTATGTGATTAGGAAACCTTTTGTCAATAAACATGTTTTTAATAGTTCACTGAATCAGTTTTCTAGCCAAAACACAGACAACAGCAAGATCAAGATTCCAGGATAGCTCTTCTCTTCCTAAATCCAGTCTTTCTAAAGTTTCCTCACCTGTAAAAGTGGGAATAATATTACATGTCCCAGAATCATACTGAAGATCCAATTATCTACTTCATGTAAAACACCCACACAAGGCTTAGTATATACTCTGCTCAATAAATGTTATTGTTACTGTTAATACAGCACTCTGCACGTGAAGTCTTCTGTCATTCAAGGGTGACTAATTATTCTCCCTTTTAAAATCTCAAACTTGTAAAATCACTTTTTTTACTCCTCTACATAGAAGATTTCTTGAGGAAAGCAACTAGAATACAGACTGCATATAGCTGAGCCTCAATAAATGCTTCCTCTGTAGTTGTACAGAATATCCTTAACTTTCCATAAGTCTGAAATTATTTCAAAACAAAATGTCTAAATACAAAAGTAACAAGGAAAAAAGGACAGATGGAAAATAATCATATGAATAGATGCTCAACATCATCAGCAATTAGGAAAATGCAAATAAAAACCACAGTGAGATACTAGATATCGGGATAACCCGCTCCCGATGTTTAACGTGGGTTCTTTTCTATTTCCCAAGTGTCTCGGCTGGGCTGAGAAATAAAGGGAAAGAGCACAAGAGAGAGAAATTTAAAGCTGAGTGTCGGGGGGAGACATCACATGTCGGCAGGATCCGTGCTGTTCCCCAAGCCATAAAATCAGCAAGTTTTTATTAGCGATTTTCAAAAGGGGAGGGAGTGCACAAACAGGGTGTGGGTCACAGAGATCACATACTTCACAAGATAATACAATATCACAAAGCAAATGGAGGCAGGGCGAGATCACAGGACCACCAGATGAGGAGAAATTAAAATTGCTAATGAAATTTCCGGCAGGCATTGTCATTGATAACATCTTATCAGGAAACAGTGTTTGAGAGCCGGTAACCTGTCTGATCACAATTTATTAGGTGGGAATTTTCCCATTCTAGTAAGCCTGGGAGCACTATAGGAGACCAGGGCTTATTTCATCCTATCAGCTTTGACCATAAAACACGGGACGCCTTAAAAGGAGCCATCTACAAGCCTACCTTAAGGGCGCATTCTCTTTCTCAGGGATGTTCCTTGCTGAGAAAAAGAATTCAGCAATATTTCTCCTATTTGCTTGTGAAAGAGGAGGAATATAGCTCTGTTCCGTCCGGCTCGCTGGCGGCCAGTTCAAAGTTACCTCTCTCGTTCCCTGAACATCACGGTTATCCTGTTCTTTTGTTAAGATACCCAAATTTCATATTGTTCAAATACACATGCTCTACAAACAATTTGTGCAGCTGATACAACCACAGGGTCCTGAGGCGACATTCATCCTCCTCAGTTTACAAAGAAGATGACGGGATTAAGAGATTAAAATAAAGACAGGCATAGGAAATCACGAGGATATTCACTGGGGAAGTGATAAGTGTCCATGAAATCTTCACAATTTATGTTCGGAGATTACAGTAAAGACAGGTGTAAGAAATTATAAAAGTATTAATTTGGGGAACAAATAAATGTCCATGAAATCTTCATAATTTATGTTCTTCTGCCGTGGTTTCAGCTGGTCCCTCCATTCGGGGTCCCTGACTTCCCACAACAACTACTAAACCCCCATTAAATTTACTAAAATATAAGGGAGAAAAAGAAAAAGCTGCCAATAGCAAATGTTGACAAGGATATAGGGCAACTAAAAGTCTCAAACATTACTGAAGGAAATGCAAACCGGTAGAAAAAAACTTCCAACTTGTTTTCCAACGTTAAACACATATTTACTATATGTCATACCAATCCTAAGTATTAACCCAAGAGAAATTAAAACTTATATTGATACAAAACCTGTCTGCAAATGTTTTTAGATTTAGTCATAACCACTGAACACTGAAAACTCAAATATCCAACTGATAAATGGATAGACTGTATTACATCTATTTAATAGAATAGGATTCAGCAACAAAAAGGAATGGATTATTGATACATGCAACAATATGGATGAATCTCAAAAGTATCATGCTAGTTAAAGGAAGCCAGTCTCAAAGGCTATATGGTGTGCGTGTGTGTGTGTGTGTGTGTGTGTGTATATATATATACATGTTATATGTCTATGACATTCAGCAAAATGCAAACTACAGGGATAGGAACAGATCAGTCGCTGTCAGGGGTGGAGCCAGGGGGACGGAGGAAAATATTGATTAAAAATTGGCAGCATGATGGAATTTTGAGGAGTGATGGAATGGTTCTATATTTTGATTGTTGTCATTACAGAATTTTATGAATACATCAAAACTCACAGAACTGTTATACCAAAAAAAATGAATTTTACTAAAGTACATAAATTTAAATAATATTTTTAAGTCCACAAGGGAAAAAAGTACTTTCATAGACAACTCATTTTATTCTCAGCCCAATAACAAAGACCAGATAGGTACTATTACTCTCATTCCATAAGTGAGGACACTGAACCATGCAGTAAATAAATAAATATACAAATTACATGTGGCAGGACCAAAACTACAGTCTAGATGCACTGATTCTATTCCAAACACTTCATTGACTCAATTTTCTCATAAACTTTATGGGACACAATGTCCCTGAAGACAAATAGAATCGAATAGAAGAAAGGAGGAAAAGAAGAAAAAAGACAGTTATTGGAAGAAAGCCATTTAGAATTTGGCTGTCATCCTTAAGGAATTAAAAAACAGTCTTTAATGGAAGAGGTGTGAACAGTGATCCATACAGGCAACACATTAACTGGCATTAAAGTATAAGCTGGTGATTTCTTCCATAAAAGCTTCTTAATTTTTTAATGCTAAGAAAAGGCAAAAGCAAACATAAAACATTCACAGGTAACCTTGCAACTATTGCTACAATTTCAGTGATGCCTAGTCTTCAGAACAACACTGAGAACAATGATGGTGCCTACAATTCAAAACAGATTTTGCACCTTTAAATAAACAAAGTCCCAGAAGCTACCACCCAAGAATAGAAAACAAGAGCAAAACCTTTAAAAATATCTTTTCAGTTTCAAAATCAAAGAAGTAGTGGTATAATAGTTGCCAAAAGAATATACTATAATTACAACAGCTGAAGGAAAAATTGAGCTTAGTTTAACAAAAAAATGATGAAAAACTGCAACGGTACCACAAATAGCATACTTACCTAAAAACAATGGTGTCGTTTCTTCTAAAGTAGTTGCATTAGGATCTGCCCCAGCTTCTAAAAGAATCTGTACGATTTTCCAATGTCCTTGACTTGCAGCGAGATGTAAAGCACAGAAACCTTCAAAGGTCTTCATCTTAATGTAGTTTTCAGATGAATCTATGGAAGAATCAAAGCCCATCAACTAGAAGATATTACTTCTATTTCCTGGTTTTAAAAAGCAAAGATTCCAAGAGGAATTTAATGAACTATTAAAATGTCAGTAATTTATAAATGACAGGTTTCACCATTTAAAACTCTAGAAAAATCAAGAAAAAGTTCTACAGAGATCCCAATGTGGACAGCTCTTTGGTATTCTTAATACACAAATCCTGCCCACTCACTCTTATTTTCTCTTCTCTAATTTTTGGTGAGTAAGGGAAAAGGAGTGGCAGAAATTGAAAGGTAACACAAAAGCAATAATCTGGGGAGGATGCAGCACTAAAGATTTGCTTAAACAGAATTTATCGAAAAATTAATCAATTTTATTTTTTTATTTTTAAATTTCCATAAGGGAAATGGTCTGATCTCTAGCATTACTTCCTTGTACTCAACTAATACCATGAGGCAGTTTTAAATACTCCTTTTCTAACTTAAGACTATGGTCTAATAGTTAATGAAAACTGCAGTTCTAAAAGAATAAAATGCACTCCAACACAACCCAACAGTGATATATAATAAGGAATTTATGAGTTAAAGTTTCTGAAATATACTTGTTATGAAAAAGCCAAGGTTCTGGTAACACTCCAACTGCCCATTATAGAAGGATGGGCTCTAAAGTGAATGGTGAAGACATTTCTGATAGTTGGAATAAACTAAACAGAAAATAAAAAAAAAACTTTTAAAAACATTTTCTTGAAGTATCAGAATTGAAATGAATGCTCCTAACTAGTCATCTACTTCAAGTAATTCTTGTAATTGTAACTCACTGATGAAACAAGTAAATTAAGCCATAATATCACAGTAACAGCTTCTAAGTACATATATTCAAAGAAAATAGTCTCAAACTTTACAGACGCACAACTAAAAGATAAGGTAGTCATTATTAAAAGGGCATATCACAGAAATAGGGTTTCAGACATTAGTCAGAAGTTGACTCTTATTCAAACTAGTCTATTGAGATTAGTCAGAGATTAGTCAGACATGACCCTTATTTCATGTATTAACCTGACAGTTCTGTGAATACAAATGACATGAAAACCAAGGAACACAAAGATATATATAGATAATTGACATTGGTAGATTGGCTCCTAACTGGGAAATTTCAATATTATAAAGATGCTGATTCTTCCCAAAATAATTAATAAATTTAATACAATTCTAATAAAAATGCCAGTAGAGCTGTTTGCTTGTTTTATACTTTAGATAAAGTAACTCAAGTTGATAAGGCTAAGGTAGTGACGCAGGATTTTTTGCTCCTTAGTTCAGCTAAAATCCAGGTTCTTACGTCACCACCAGGAAAAATCAGGCATGTGGACACACTGAAAGGTGAGGAGAGTGGAATTTATTAAAAGAAAGCTCTCAGCTAACAAAGGGGGTCCTGCCAACAGGTTCCCATTCCACAGATTGAATACCAGACCACCACACATGAGCTGAAGAGACCAGGCTCCTCCCCTCACATAAGATGAGAATTCCCGGTGGCTTCACCCCATTCTTCCAGTGCACAGGCAGCCCCTTATTCTGAGCCACTCCACATTGATTTATTTCCCTTCTGTGCATGTATTAAGGGACGGAATTTTTCACCCCCATGGGCATGTTTAGGCAAGCTCCCGGTGCATTTGGCTGTCTCCTCTATCAGTAGGGCAGGTAAGAGTAACAAAGAATTTAGAAAAATGAACAAGACAAGCATTGAAGCATACCTAGACTTACTATATACTAAACCATGTCTTAAAGTTAGAAAAAGTAAAGTAATGTGCTCCTGGTACAAATGCAGAAAGGAACATACCCATCAGGGAAAGGAATCAACAGATGCAATAGGAGACTAAGAAAGATGATCGCTAAAAGGTAGGAGACGTAGACCAGTGTTATATTACAGAGGCCAAGGAACTTTCTCTTATAAAGAAGAGATGTTCTCCTCTACTTACAAAGGAAAAAAAGAGATAAAGTTTAATCCTGGCCATTTAAATAATATGCCTTACAGCAGAAAGAGTGAACTTTAATGTATGCAACATTAAAAAAAAAAAAAATCAACCAAGAGGTAAAAGGAAGGGGGATCCTAGAATAGAATGCAGACTGTGACAAAAGAATCTAATTGGAATACAAATATATGTCATAACCACACTGAGAGATAGAGAAAAAAGATGCTGGTCTATATAAGTTTGATAAATGATGCTATGACTGCAAACTGTAAGACTAAAGACAAAAAGAACTGCACATAAACACTATAGTCTAGTTGGTAAAGTTGTTTCTAGGAGTAGAGATTAACAATTCTGAAACCATTCTACATGAATACGAAGAACAAACAAATAAATAAACAGATGGCAGATCTGCGAGCCAGGTTTCTTACTGTTGGAGAGGAACGTTACAGTTAAGCAAAGAGGGAAGGCTAGAATGAATCATGTGGTTCTGGATTAGAGTTCAGACATCAGTATGAATTCATGTTTAGCTTAAAATCAATGACAGTTCAGTAGCAACAAGCACACTCAGTCCTCGGATCTTGCTCCCCGCCCCCCTCCTTTTTTTTTGAGATGGAGTTTCACTCTTGTTGCCCAGGATGGAGTGCGGTGGTGTGATCTTGGCTCACTGCAACCTCCACCTCCCGGATTCAAGCGATTCTGCTGCCTCAGCCCCCCGAGTGGCTGGAATTACAGGCGTGCCACCGCAGCCGGGTAATTTTTTGTATTTTTTTCGTAGAGACGTGTTTTTGCCATGTTGGCCAGGCTGGTCTCAAACTCCTGGCCTCAGGTGATCCGCCCAACTCGGCCTCCCAAAGTGCTGGGATTACGGACGTGAGTCACCGTGCCTGACCTCAGATCTTGGTTTTCAATACCATTCTCCCATAAAAGAAACCAGAGCTCTTATGAAAATGGCTGATCCCAGGGCTGAGGTGAGAAACATACAAAGAGTCTGGAGCATACCACAGGTCCAAAAAGTAAAAAGTGCTCAAAAAACAAACAATGGGGGCATGCAAAAGAGACACAGGAGCCACTCTGAAAGGGCATCCTATGACCAAAACAATATGAGCAACAAAATAAATTACTTTGTATTGGATTGTAACCTAAAGTACAGGTATGAAATAAGTAACAATGAGTCCATGCAGATATAAATAACTAAATATATAAATTAATGGGAGAGAAGAGATAAATCTCCGATATAGAAGACTTCCAAATAATTTATGTAAAGACTCCTCCATCAAGGAAGTAGAGTTTAATTCCCACTTCTTGAATGCAAGCCACCTTTAGTGACTTGCATACACACTCATCTTAGGAAAAGGAAATAAAATCTCCTGTGTGATTATGAAATAAAGAAAATAAAAGGCACTTCTCACACAGGTGGGAAATACTGAAGTCAATTTACTACTAATTTGAGATCCTGAAATACTTTACCTATAGAAAAAAAAGTATTAAGCTAACTTTTAAATCACTGGACCAGGAAGGTAACATTTGAAGTTGGATTTCGGCTGCAATTTTGACTCTGCCAGAAATAATATGGATTACACTTTGGGCCAATTACTTAAATCTCTCTGAGGCTCAAGTTCCGTAACAGTGAAACAAAGATAAATTAGCTGGACCAACTCTCAATGGGGTTCAATACAATTAGGTATATAGTCTAAATTTTTGTAAAATACAAATGCAGATAGATACGCAATTTAAGTACTGTCAAAGTTGTTACAAATTTAGTAAAGTCTCCAAAGTACCATTTTAAGAAAGTTTTCAGCACCCACTATAAATTAGTTTTGAAAGTTCCAAAGATAAACTGCTTTCCTTAAACTGATACATGAGCTTTAGCAAAGGGATCTTATCTACCTTGTACTGGACCATCAATCACCACCTTCTCACTCTCTTCCTTTCTCTACAGGGGGGTTTCCTGAAAAAGAAATGGCTCATCCTACTCACTGTTTTTAATGCTTTAATCTCTCTTTACCCTAAAAGGAAGGCAAAGTGATTTCTCCTTCTCATCTACTTACTGAAACTTTAAATGGTATGGGTATTAAACACATTCTTAATGGACAAACACAATGAGCACTTCAGGTCTTTCACAACTTGTGAGTTCTTTCCTGGGACTACTTGGAGAAGTAGAGCCACCACAGCTGAACCAACGCCAGCCACTGACGCCTGTGTAGCAATGACAAGAGTTGGCCCAAACACTGCCAATGAAACCACACCCTATGTTTGCTGACACAAAGTGTCTTTTTACTTATGAATAATAAACTTGCCTATTACTTCTTACAAAAGTGGTAGTGATGGGTGGTAGACCGTTATTTTTGTTTTCTGCAGACTCTAACAGGGAAAGTAAAAACACAAGGTTTTCAGTAGAGGAGATAGGTTAAGTATTAAGATCAGAATCTTTCTTAACAGCTGAGCCAGAATTTGATGACAAATTTACTACGTGCCAATCACAAGTGTAATAAATGTCAAGATTATATTGCCATGCCATTTACACAATTTATATCATCTTACTATATTTTACTTAGGAATTATAAGGTTAGATATAAAATGATTTCCACAATACAAGGAATTTTATTATGTGCAAACTTCTCAGAAAATCCTCAGGAGAGACTTCATAATGCACACAAAATGCATGAAAGAAGTCAGTGAAGAGGAAGAGGTTGCAAGGCATTACAAAGAAAGTAGACACCATAAGAAAAGTGAAGAGAAAATACCCGAAACACATATAACACCGAAGGATTAATATCCAGAATACATAAAGAGCTCTTTACAGATAAGGTAAGGCCTAATGCAGTGGCTCATGCCTGTAATCCCAGCACTCTGGGAGGCCAAGGAAGGAGTATCACTTGAGGCCAGGAGTTCGAGACCAACCTGGACAACATAGCAAGACCTCCCATCTGTATGAAATATAAAAAATAAAAAATTAGCCTGATGTGATGGCATGTGTCTGTGGTCCCATTTATCCCAGAGACTGAGATGGGAAGATCACTTGAGCCCAAGAGTTGGAGGCTG